CTTGACAGGCTGACAAAGAAAGATTTCCAGGGATGCTTCCAGGCTTGGCAGCGGCGCTGGGATCGTTGTGTTCACTCCCAGGGGAACTACTTCGAGGGTGATGGATGAATTTAATACCTGAGATAAGTGTACGGGTTTTTATAGGCGCAGTCTAGAAACTTCCGATCGCACCTCGTAAGACGTCAAGTTCCATGTTTGTGTTTGAGCTAAAATGGCGTATAGGACTTCAGGTGAACGGGCTATTTTAATCAGCCACGGCGTAATTCTACCACCACAGCCGGGCCAACGAGCGAGAGAAGTGTTTTGAATATTTTTTACAGCAGAGATTAAAACAATGGCAATTATAATTCTTCTCCATGAGGTTGGCTTACTTATTTATTGTTTATTTAACGATGCTGTTTTGATCCATGGGCTATCCATCGGTGCTTAGTCAATCAGCGTTTTTGGGTGAATTTTACTTTCAATAAATCAAAATGTTTCGTACCGTCCTGAGCTGTGACAAATGAAAGTCGATAGCCGGAAGTCAGACTCTGGAGTGGAAAAACGGTTCTTAAAACGTCTTTATTTGTTTTCTGAATAGCACCGCCATGTACACTTTTGGGTAGTTACCGACGTTTCAAGGCTGATTTCAGATAAAGGCAGTGTGCACCTCCGAAACGTCAGTGTATTATAACAAGTCTGGACTACTGCACTGTTCATACCATCATCGAGATTTGCGCTACAGTCTAGAACTAAAAATCTTACATTATAATTTATAAGGACGTTTCGGGAGTTGTCTCCACTTCCGCCTTCAGGAAATTTCTATATTTATACTGATAGACTGTTTAATTACGTCTGTTATTTCGACATTCGTGGCAGTGGCTGGGATCGAGCCGATCTCTTTGAGCAGAGAACTTGAAAGAAGTTGGATTTTGCTTAGTATTTAATGGCACGCCCCATTTGAAAATGTGCGTGGCAGGGCACAGATTTTACTTTTCTGTGGATGAAGAAAACCGACTACGAAGTCATCGGAACTTCTTAACGTGGACCTAGGAATTCAACCAAGTTTCCTATCTCTTGAAACAAGGTCCGTCTTGAGAAACTACCTGCACGCTCAGCTAGTCAAAATATACGACGCCTTTTGTGGAACTCGCAGGTTCAGTACCGTAGTCACCAGATCCCGCCACATGAATACAAGTCTACATACTCAAACACAATTTCCGTGAGATCCATTTTAATATTATTATCTAACCAACACAAAAGCTTTCCTCTTGGGCCCAAATATTCTCCTCAACCACCCTCCCTGCATAACTTAAGAGACGAGGTTTCACACGCCAAACAAAAGAGGCAGAATTATCTTCTGACTGTCAAAAATGGGCTCCCGTCACTCCGTCATGTCGGCGGACTTAACGCTGATTCATCGTATTCACCGCTGTTCAGCAAATTGTCTGCGAGTCAGGCGTCACGCGATTTTCAAACAGTTCGGCGTGTGTTCTCTGTTGAACCTTATCGCTGTTGTACGAGGCCGTTGGACGGGCAAACCACCACGCAGCTGCACCGAGTGACGCAGAAGACATTCCGGCCTTGTAGCGGCTTTCGCTAGACTCGGTCCGCTGTCAAATCAGTCGCGAAGTGGTGAACAGATTCAAGAATGTGTTAGGGAGACGACCACATCAGAGCTACGAGAAGTGTCTCGCCCTGACACCGAGAGATGTTGAACAATGCATTCGTGGTTTTAGATTTGTCTTATCCCCGGAACCAACACTAGCCCCTACGTGACGTAGTAGACAAACTGGTGTCCACGGCAGATTGAGAATACGTTCACTAGGGTGGATGAGTGATCTGTTCGTAACGCGTGTTCAGTTCTGAGCAAACTGGTTTCTTCTTTTGAAGTGCACTGCCCTGTTATAACAACAACTGTGTTCTCCTGTTGTAGGATCGTGTCCGTCGCGGGCAGGCCCTACACGCGTGACCAGGTGTACCAACCGGAGTACTACTACCCAGGTCTGTTGCCGTTCTATTCGCTTGTTCTCCCTCTTCTCTTCTGCATTTCCTCGGTCGTCTGTAAGAATGCTTTCGTCACGAATGGGACAACGCGAAGTCCCACTTTCGTGAGATTGCAGGTCCTCAGTGCGGCGAGTCCGAAGATGGCCGTCTTCTGTGTTGATGCGCCGTGCACTCTGGTGGAATGAAACCAGACCACACGGTGCACCATCCCAGAAGTCAGCCATCTTCAGGTCAACTTATATCCACCATATAAGAACAATTTAAGTTGAATGCTTCAGAAGGCAGATACGTATTTTAAATGTAAGTGTGTACTGTAATGGCCGTGTGGCTTTGTCGGTACAGGCTTCGAGTACCATTACAATGAGGTCTGCGCTTGTCATTTTAATAATTACGTAATTTAACGCGACGATTCGGTGACAAGAATGTTTCTTCAAAGTGTTTCCCTTTCTTAAAAGGCACGTCCTAAACACGAATAAAAAAGTGTTCAGAACCTTATAAAGCAGAGGCGGGGCAGGCCCCGTCCACCTCCTATTCTAATCTAAATCGTTAAAAATCCAGATTCGCGGGCTATATGGAAGAAGATAAATTTCTCGTTTTCGTAATTAGCGTACAAATAACTAAGCTTATTGAGAAAAAAATAAATAAAACTGGAAGCATCTCTCTGACGAAAGCTTTAGTGAACCTTATAACTGAGGCTATTGATAACGATGTGAAGATATTTTAAAGTCACTGATACGTTTGGACCAATAACTGAGCCCGCGGCCCTTTCTTACAGCTCAGTGAGTTCCTCCGACTAAAACTTACAGCCCTGACCGCGATGACACGACGCCCTCAGGTAGTTGATTGTCTGTGCTCATATTTGAGGTCACAAGCTTGTTACGAGCACAGGTTCACCTTTTTAACTTACTAGACCCATATTCCGCGTTTGCAAATTATATCAAACAAAAGGGAGTCAGACAAAAACAGACCTCAAAGTTTCAAGTAACTAGCACGATTGGACACGGCCTTGTTTCTGGGGCAGTTTTGAGACCAGCGACTTCTTGGGGTTGATACTGAAATACTACGGCCATGATATAAAGATAATTTTCAGGTGACTGATATGTTTGGACTGATATTTATGGACGTGTTTCTTTCTGGCATCGCGGACAACAGATGAGGAGTACAGCAACCGCATAGGGCAAGCCGTCAACAGAGGTCGGCCGCTGTACACCGTCGCCGGAAGGTGAGAACCTCTGCTTACAACCTTACTTCGTTTCGTTTTCAGAAAGGAGAATTCTCCTCTCACACTAAAAATCAAATCATCGTAAGATGTATATGAAAAAGAGAATTTCCAATTTGCTAATCAGTGTTCGATGTAACCGCTGTCCCGCTAAAAACCTGTATACACTTCACATGTCTTACAGTCAATCTACATACAAACATTATATAGCTATCCAGAGCAACACAAATTAGCAAAACTACGTCTCTTTCATTATGAGCATCTTGTCTGGTTGCGACTGTTGTACATCCAGCATTTACATTCAGAATGCTCCTGACTTCCACACAACAATCTAATCAGTTTCCTCAGAAACTTTGACTTTCATTTTCGAATCCGTAAATTTATGATCGCTACTGGTAATTCAGTGCACTACAAACTATTCCATTCAGTCACTCTAACCTAACCCTCGGGGAGATTCGAACAAAATTCGGCACTGGAAACGCCCACTAGACTTCCTGCGGCAAACTGCTTCAACCAACAGAGTGAACTGATGTTGTCACCACACAAAGGAAGAAATTTTAGCTTCGGTTCCATATTTAAACTTCCAAGTTTACTTACATCTGCCTGACGCCACGTTTGCTGCCGCAGACACTGGGAGCATCGGGTGGCGGTCCCACACAGCGGGTCCCGTGTCCCTGAGGGGCACTACGACAAGCTGCCTCGCCGCAGGACCACCGGCCTCTTCCGGTCCTCTCAGTGGGGCTCTGCCACGATCCCGTACAGGGGCGCCAAGGTCAATGTTCCGGTTCTGTCTGGAAACAAGAAGGTGAGTTCTTGGGGTGCTTCATGGACCAGTGCCATCCCTGAGAAACTAATCGTCGACAGACCGGTCACAGTCTCAGACCGACCACAAACACACGCCCAGCTTACCGACCCGCATCTCTGCAAATCACGTAATTGCACTGTGCAGGGCTGAAGGTTCCCTTAATTCGCCGACTCAGCGACTTGCAATCAGCGCAACTGTCGGTGCTTCACTGAAGCTGGTTCTTTCTTTCGTCCACAGGCGTATCGAGGCACCATCACCACGACAGTGCTCCAACCCCGCAGCCACGATGATCGGACCGGCTCCGAGTTCCCCACGACTGACTCAGGTACGTGGTCGCACTGCAGGCCGGTGGCGCAAAACACAAAACTGGAAATTGGCTGCCAGAACTACCAAATCTGAAGAGTCGTGCTGACCCACAGTATTATTATTCGCGGTGGCAACATTATCAACATCCACACTAAGTCTTGCTGCCAGTGTATCCTGAAGGCCCGACGTCGCCAAACATTCCAACCTATTTCAAAGAGATTTCCTCATAAAATTCTACGTGCATTCTTTGTCTCCACATCAGAACTGCACGCCCATCAACACCACTTGGCGCTTGTACGTCAAGCCGTCATGTTATGTCCTCACTCCGTCCATCTTGAGCTCCAAACATTTACTTCAACACTCGGTTGTTGTGGTCATTATCACAGATACTATTATTAGTATTATGTTCGATTAATTCGCAGACTCTCTAACGACTCTGAAACAACATGGCTGTCTTCTGGGTTGTTGCTCCGTATAATCCGGTAGAAGTTTACCGACCTTTCAAACTCTACCTCACAGGTGGCTAAACAACTCGCGAACTATAAGAACCCATGATTTCGGATAACCGGACTCCGTCCGATAAGAAGGAAACAACTCAAAATGTACCTCATTTTCGGATATACGGAAAACAATTTCTCGTCCCGAAAAAGTGACTGTTCCCTATAACTGTGTTCTTATAAGCTACGCCCAGATATTAGTGCGAAATATTCTTAAAAAAAATATCCGACGAACCAATAGTTGCCTACTGTATTTCGAAATTACTGTAGAAATGCCTGAAAAATATTTAATCCAATTTTGGGCAAACGCATCTTTTTGCGCAGGTCTGAAGGCAGTTCAAGACTCTCCGGACCTCAGCTCGACAGGCAAGTTGTGCGTTCTCTGTCCGGACGACAGGCACGTCGTCGCTACCAAGGAAACTACGTTCGCTCTTGTTGAGCCGCCAGCAGTGAAGCCGTGTCACAACTCTCCGGCCACTCGGTGAGAAACTTTTGTATTTTTCCTCTTTCGTGGCGGACACGCGTGTCACTGCCGAAACCAGCATTGCCACCCTCTTCAACAGCTCCCACCTGGGTCTCGGATCTGAAGATTTTTCCCACTGAAATTTCGTATGCATTTCTGGTATTCCAAATCTGCATGTCCAGCCTTCGACCTGGCAACATTTGGTTATTAAATGTGCAAATGGCTCTCAGAATTATATAAATTGCATTATATCATATTCTTTACATTCGACATTTTCTATGTATTTATATACACAGCATTGCGAGAACTGGCTCACATACGTACTTCAGCGCCTGGTTTTCATTATACAGATCATCCATAAACTCTTACGGAGAGGTCTCGTGGTCTCTTCTATAACTATCCTCTATATTTTCTCACTGTCTGATCGCGATAACTTCCCCGTGTCTGCCACCTACCGGGATTTCCTTTCCGGTCTGTGGTTCGGTGTCATATACTGGAGATGGTTGACCACGTATGCTAGGTGATGTTATATCAATCTCAAGCTCTGTGTTGAGGGAGCTCCTTGGTTCACCACTTACATCCACTGAGCGGTTTCTTAGCTGCTTCTGGTTATACATTTTAATTAACTAAACTCTGTGCCAACCTGGTGTTCCGAAGATTTTCCGAAGATGATGTTGCTGCTGGTGGGGTTGACTTCACGGAGCACACACTGGAAGGGGTTTGTTTGTGTTTGAAGTGACCGAAGGGTTGTCGCGTAGCGCTTATGTGGACTTTCCTCCCCGCTCCAAACCTCCTTAAATTGACTTGCCAGGGTCCGCGGCTGATTCCCCGGGCGACGTCTCCTCGCGGGTGCTGGAATCCCTGAACCTGGTTGCTCACTTCGAAGTCGGCAGATTTCTGGAAAGGCGGGGGCTGGTTTGATGCTCCCGTGACACTTGCAGTGTTGTACCGGTGCTCTTCTGTCTAATCTCGACGCCGCTACAGTGCGTTGTGGCCGATCCTCGTAGCCCCAAAAAAAGTTGGGCGCCATTTTTTTTATAACTATCCTGTATACTTTCTCACTGCCTGTCACTTTCTTTGTTCCTTCGGCAAGAGATAGTTATATCCCGAATGGTTTGATGCTCCCGTGACACTTGCAGTGTTGTACCGGTGCTCTTCTGTCTAATCTCGACGCCGCTACAGTGCGTTGTGGCCGATCCTCGTAGCCCCAAAAAAAGTTGGGCGCCATTTTTTTTATAACTATCCTGTATACTTTCTCACTGCCTGTCACTTTCTTTGTTCCTTCGGCAAGAGATAGTTATATCCCGAATTAGAGTCAGTGGGGGAACAAGGATCACCTCAGGGTTAACGTGGTATTTTTTTTATAAATATAAACAAATTAGGAACAACAAATTAAAGAAAAACACAGAATACTTTTACTTTTGAAATCTGGATCTTCTTATACACAACTTCCCATAACAGGTACAAAAGTTTTGTTTACTGGCTGAAAGCCCGCCGTCAACTGTGTCCACTCGAGTACTACACGTGTTCATGACCTAACTCCCAGAACCATTGCTAGCGTGGGAACCTTCACACATGACTTGCTAGCGTGGGATCTTTCACACGTGATTTGCTGGCCAGTTCAAATTTTTAATTCCAACAGTTACAGGGGTTCTGGACTAGTATACTTCCAAGTCGAAAAAAAGTTCTCAAATTATGAACCAGTTTCTAGACATTTTGCAACACTTCTTGGGCGGGTGATATGTCCGTCACAAGGCTTCTGCCTACACACAGGCCACGACAACACAAATACGAGGACAAACATCTTCTTCTTCTTCTTCTGTCACTGTTTTTGGCTCTCTGATAACTTGTCACATATTCAATTTATAGTGTATTTTATACTTTTTCTCAGCACAAGTCGGCCTTATAAATTGTGATGTTTATTTTAAAACCCAACTAAATCTATCAAAAGCAGTGGCTCAGCCGGTCAAGAAACTCCCTACTTTACAGAACTCGAAGATGCTTTGCCCCGTTCACAGGTGCGCGCCACCCGCTCGCGAATCAAGTCCACATCCTCACTCGCCATTAATATAAACTTTAATATTATACTTCCATCTACGCCCTGGCCTCCAAAATGTCTCTTTTCTTCAGATTTACGGACTAAAATTTTGTGTGCATTTCTCACCTATCCCTTCCTGCAATCCCCGCCATGATTTCGTCTTCCTTTTGCCTATGTCACACGACCTCCAGCAATTACTCTTCTGCGGACAGCCGCTCTTTCTGGTGACGAAACAGTCCGCGAACTCTGCATTCTCCTCCTATCCCTTTACGAGGTTCGATGGCCTGATCGAAAACCTGGGAGGACCATGAACTCTTCCTCCTGGTGAAACACAAGTCTTCCGAGGACCGGCACTGTCTGATTGACAGCAGTCTGCAGGCCTGACACTATAACGTCTAACTAAATACCTTCGTCTGCAATACAAAGTCCTTACGTCGCATGAAGCCAAGAGACGTCCCGATCACCCACACTGAAATTCCACAGTTGTAATTTGTACATGAAGGCGTATGAAACGATTCAAATGCTTACAGCCCCTGTTATTCTGGAGACAGAAACCGTGTAGGCCTGTCATTTTCAAGTGCCCGCCTCCCTTTAAGGTCGGTTAAGTCACCATTTCTAATGACGTCACCTCTGCACAACTGTCCAGAAAATTTACTTTTCCCTCTACTTTATTTATTTTTTCTTGAATTCGAAAGATTTGCCGCCTTTGATATTTTAAGACAACGCAAGGTTCTAAAAAAGTATCGCAATGAATGACAGGTTTATGTAACTTTGGATGAAGAGTCTGCAGGGTCAAACCGCATGTTCTTTTAATCCTGAAAGGACCACGATCTGAATTTTAACGTGGACCTCCAGCACCAAACATCACAGCAATCCGATCGTTACATGCTTTGGCGAAAACATCACTCTGGCACTTCAATGTAAAGTTTCTCTCTGAAGAAGGCAGTCTTTCAACAATTCTGCAACAACTGGACATTATTCAAGATTTGAAAGCCGAAATGCTACTCAAAGAAGTGGTGAAGTTAAGGCACGGATGACAGCATGATTCCTCTGAGATCATCAAATATGATGCTGATAAATGACCTACGAGGAGATGGCACAAGGTCAGGGAAGATACGCAGTCTGGAAGAAAACCACATGCAACACTGGGACTCTTCCCAAGACCCTGCAAACATAACTCACTTACCAAAACCCTTGACCACTCTGATCCCAGTGAGGAGCCAATTCTTTCTGCTGTATAAAGAGCACTATTTATTTTCCAGGGCGTTGTTATCTGAAGTGCGAGCAGAATCACTGTTTGGCCCACGGCCTGGAACAACTGTAGGAGAGGGAAGCTACAACATTTTGATACGGCTTATCCACAACAGAGAGCAGCTTACAATGTGCAAGTACCACTACCATGTAACAGGTGAGACAACCTTCTGTTAAGCACAAATCTGCAACAAAACTGACTGGAAGTAAATTTTCTGTGAGCAATTAGGGCAACAGAGGAAGGACACTGAAGACCAAGTTGGAAATAACCATTCATGTCTGAAAGGGGACATTCATATAGGTTTCTGAGTTGAAGGGTCAGACAGCGAGAACCGCAGATGACCATGCCGGGTCAGTTTCAAGTTAAAGGTCTTGTAGGAATTGAATTTTTTTTCTGTAGGAGAGGAACTACAGGTGAACTATTAGAATTCTAGAACTGCAGAATAAATTTAAGTTTTATCCCCCTACGAGGAGCCTAGCCTTTTGGTCGACCTACTGATAAAGTTAGCACTTAACTATACAACCAGTGGAAAAATTCCAGAAGGAATGGATGAGAGTTGTTGGAACAGGCACAAGGAACAAGCCATGAAAAAGGCAAACAATAGAAAAGATAATGTAAAGTGTAAATTAAAAACTGACTGATTTTTTCATTGCTATTATAAGCAGTCCTGGTGCATAAGGTACACATCAACAAACTTGACAGCTAACATCCTGTTTCTTTCTGACTTGTACAAAATAACTCGAGTGTCCTCAGCGTCCACGTCAATCCTGAAAGACGTAGCCCAGACATTCATTACACACATCTAATAAAAGAATTATGACAGGATGCTGTGTGCACAGGTGACGAGATGACTGTTCTTACTGAAATAACCATGACTGATAAAGTGGTCATTGAACAAATCATATTCACAAAGATTACAAAGACGTTACAGAATTTTGAGCAGCATATTCAGGCATCAGAGTAGACAAGACCAGGGAGTGAGCAAACTGGCAACATTCTACATGATACTAAAATTCTTGAAAGAGCATTTGATTTCGCTCCAACTTCTACAAAACCAGCAGCCAGTACAATCTTCCTTCCACTCTGTTTTGTTCCAAGTACCATTATGGCAACAGGGCCATGGTGGGATAGAATTGCTTCAGTAAAGTCTGTACCACTGCCTGGTCCATGAGGTCTTAAAAGATATTTTGAATATGGCGCGTGTGCACACACACACGCACAGGAAACAACTTGGTTGCAGAGCATAAAAAATAATTTGAAGATTAAATTAACATATAAGAACTTACTGGTATCGACATGGGTCGTACACTCCACTAATGCCTACATCGATAAATATCTGTGAAGAGAACCTCCTTAATTACGAGGGTGATTCAGAAAGTTTCCGCAGTGATTGATTTTACAGTTTGTTGTGTTGACTGCACTGTTTATTTTGCGCGTAGGTAGACGCACGAACACTTTACGTAATTGTGAAATACTTTCTAACTTGACCGGCCAGTTGTAGTAGAATTAATATGCCTGTCCTCACATTGCCGCCCACACCGTTGAAAGAAACCGCCGACAACTTTGAGGTGTCCAACTATCATCCATATCGTCCTGATGATGTTCCATCTATAACCTGTTTGGTCCAATGGAAAGCAGCTGTGCGCGGATTGTCACAGAACCAAAAACTTTTTTTTTCTTCTGATGGCATACATAAGCTTCTTTATCGCTGGTCTGAGTGTTTCAAAAGACGGGCACTATATCAGAAAATAATACTATTGTACATACTCATTGTCATATTACTTAATGAGAAATTTATTGCAGAAACTTTCTGACTCACCCTCGTACTATCATTAGTAAACAAATCTACATTGATTTTTATATACGGGTATTATTTCAAACTGCTGAATAAATGTAACAGTAAGTTTGTTTCTTGATTTGACAGAATTACAAGATGCCTCAGTAAAACGAATTTTAAGTTCATGCTGATATCATAATTATCAGCAAGTGATGTTGTGCATGCTACCTCAGGAATCAATAAATTTATTGAGTAATTGTACATTTTACACTATGCTTCGCCGTAAAATCATAGAGAACTACATGTACGTGCAAGTCGCTGGAACTAAAATTATTGACAATTAGTTTAATTTTGTATGATCTGAAGCTTTCGTGGCGACAAGTATATTGAATTATTCTTGGGCTATCAGCTGTGTCAAGTGTATGAAACATGAAAACATCTTTCAGCCACCTGATACGGCTGGTAGCCCAAGGAGAATTCATAACAAATTTATTTTAAGCACTAGGTGGGTGCCATCCAGTTTCAGGTTAGTTTCTGCAGTGTAAAATGTTTTACAAAGGACTGGTGCATCATTTTTTTAAACTAAACATTATTCCAACAGAGACAAGAAAGGGATATTGATGTATGAGGGTTTACACAGGAAGACTACTTAAACTGAATTTATACTGGATTTAGGATTGATGTGTGGTGCATTGTAAGAAATTTCGAAACCAATCCTAGATCTGCAAGAACCTGACATGCACTAACAGAAAGCCAATAAAGACAAATAAAAAGATACTGTACATGCACACACACTGTATATCCTATAAGTAGTTTGAAATTCACCAGAATTTCTTCCTGAGCAACTTCCAAAATTGCTCTTTGTATGTTTTCCTTCAACTCTTCTTTTGTATGAAGGTTTGTTCTGTAGACTCTCTTTCAAATTACCCTATAAATAGAAGTCACATGGGTAGGATCAGGTGCATGTGCACTGGCACAATACATCTCCAGATTGACAAAACACTTTAGACTGCTTGAAAACTTAACTAGCAATAAAATACCATATTCAGAGTACTTTGAAAACCACAATGAAAATTTTCATATTTCTATATGAATTTATAATGCAGTTGTAAAGGTGATATAGAAGTTTATATTTTAGTTGCTGCAGTAACAAACAAAGTTTCTCAGCTCAGACACTGGTATTTTCTCCAACACGTACTTCCCACTGAGTTAGACGATCAGGAATAAAAAGAAAGAAGTTACAAAATAAATGTGGAATGATCATGTCTTACAAGGTTTTAATTACAAAGTGGTGATTGAATTCAAATTTCCTTTTTTTGTTTAGTTCGAAAGTGCCCACCACTGCACCTTCATGAACACGCACATGTGCGTTGTTCACTCAACAACGCATGGGGATCTCGATGTCAACTAACCTGCAGCCAAGGTTATGAACTAGTGGGGCATAACATCACTGAATGTGGGGACAAACTGAAATGGACAAACCCACTGCCACGCTGCTTAGGTAAGATACTAATTACTTTGTTATTTGCATAAAATTAATGCATATTGGGGTGATCATGTCTGTTTGTCAGTCACATGAAAATAATGAACGTAACTGTCCATTATGGACCACGGGGTAAGAGGAAGGTTCCCTGTTGCAGCCCATAGGTCAGGCGGCTCTGCCACGAAACAGGAAGATACTGAATATGGCCAATTTGTTGGAAGATTCCTATCTGTCAAAACTGAAGTGCCTATAAAACATGGTTCTCTGCACCACTGGCAAGTTTCCTAGGTGCACATCAAGTCTGTGATTTACATGTGGCTTTAAAAATTTCATATATGCATAATTTAATCACAGAATTAAGCACGGATCAAGTAGAAGACAAAATCATAAAATATTAAGTACGCAGTGACCAAAATGTCATGCACCTCATTCCAGGAACATGTTCTATTTATCAAAAATTAAATTACATTAAAATCAGAAGAAGAAAAAACAATGTTATACTAAGTTGTGGAAATGTTCACTGCATTCAGCAATATATGCATTCACTCTGTTCCTCATGTCAGATGCAACACGAAGCGTTTCTATAGTGACTGGAAACGGTTCACAAGGAGAATCGGGAAATGTATCCCTAAATTCACTCTGGCAGGTAAAGTAAGAACAAGATGTCAGGTAGTTTTTGACAATGAACAGTCGTTGCACTTGTGAAAAAGACATCCTTCCACTTTGAACGTTTGAAGACAGCTGTCAGACTGGCATGAGCAGGTTACTGCGCACCTCATTCACATCGCTCAATACCAGCATCTTTCTTCTTTCTTTCTCAAAAAATCACTAGATACTGCTGCTATTACTACAAGTGCTTCTTCTTGAAAAAAAGATAATTCATCATTTGTTTTTATTTGAACCTCACACTGTGTAGCTGTGAAAGGCTGCCCATTGCCCATGAGTCCAGAAAATGGTCGTCTCAGCTGTGAGACTCCTGGGAGTGGGGAAGGTTCAGACGTCACTAGCAGTGGGGAGCTGCTCAAGGAGGGAAGTGTGTGTCGATATGACTGTGACCCAGGCTACGCAGTGCCACAATCACAGTGGCACCTGATGGTGATAAGGTGCAGGGCTCACTCATGGAACAGCACAACAGATCCAAGCTGTCAGGGTGAGTTTGCTGGCACCGGGAATTTTTTGCAGTTTCTCTTGAGGTGTGACCGGAATATAGACTGCTCGGTTATGAACATTATTTCACGACTATGCTGACAATGATGTGATCTCATAATACTATTAAATACTTCTTCATTAACTAGAATAATTTAAAGTCTGTTCCACCCTTTTCTTGGATTTACTTCTCTTTCAAGTATCCTCCGTACATGTTTTGGACACTTTTAGCCATCTTCAGGAGATTCACACTGGTTTTTAAAAGTTTCAAATAGAATTTACACCATAGAACTTGAGACATTTTACAGAAAAATGTCAACCTTTTACCTATACATATTTTACTGTTTCTGTTATTTTATTTGTGTATCTTCCTTCTTACTCTTATTTCATGTTGTCTTTTGCTATTAAATTAGACACTATAAATAGCAAGTTTCCACAGCGATTTGTTGCTAACAGGCAAAAATTAAAGCAACAAATGAAAATTTACTAATCATAAGAAACACGATGATAGACATGCAATAGTAGCATCTTTACAGCAGACGATGGCAATACGCCCCAGTTGCTACTGGCAGACACAGAGTACCACCATCCCTTGAGGCATCATCAGAAGAGAAGACCTTGTTGGGCCAACCCATGCCAGGCAGGAGGGACCTGCCTTAATGGGCCTCACCCCAGAAGGTCCGTGCTATGTATCTGTCCACGGGACAGAGAAGGTAAGACATGGTGGAATGGATAGGAGTGAATAAATCTGTTCCTGTTGCTAAATGGTGATGTATCTGTGAAAATATTTAACTTCTTAGTTTTCTCAAGGTTTGGGTACCCCATTGTAAAGTAGAGACATTCTTGATCCTTCCATAAAACATTTCTCTTAATGAAACCCTGTGAAATGTAAACATTTATCTTTTAAAATTCAGTATATTGTGCATGAGGCCTACACAAAAGGGAGATTGTGACAGAGTTCGTTGGGCCTCAATGTGCTCCCCACTGTGCACATGGCAATCGTTCATATCTAGAGGCCAATTATTCTCATGTGTGGTTTAACCTTTGAGGCCCATCACAATAAAATTTAATAATTCAATAATTCAATCTGTACCTCAAAGAAAACAGCACTTCTCCATTACAAAGATCAATATTGGTAAATGCTGTTTAATTAGGAAATAATCTGTTTACAGTGAGAATCATACAAATCCCATCCTTGCCACTGGGATTTAAAGGGTAACATCAGTGTGTAAAACCTGCAGCATTTTTTGTCTTTAGCTCATAAACGTCCCAAGGTCACTGAACATAAACAGTGTTCTTCATGACCTCCCACACACACAAATCAGGTGGCGTTAGGTTGGTGAATCTGGAGGCCGAACAATAGGCCTGTCATGACCGCAAGCAGCTACTCTTTAATGCACCTTGCTTGGCTGGGGAAGGTACATAAACTGCACGGACGGGATCTCCTACAACTGCATTATGGGAGCATTTTCATCCACCACCAAATGACGGACTGACATGTTCTCCAAAAATTAAACCAGTAAATGTGGTACAATGCTTTCTTTCATATAATTAGGGCTTCAGAAATACAATTTAAATTTATTGGCCAGTTAAAATCAGTCTCAAGGTACTTATTCGCCTTTTCTGAAGGTCTTCAATTACCAGTTGCTCACACAATATACTACAAAATATGCATGGTTTAAAAAACAATTCTGAATATAAAACACATGAAATAAAGTTAGAATGCTCTTTCTTGTATATTAACCGAAAACAACGCGTTAAACATCAGTTTTAGGACAGTCAGCTGCATTTGTGTGATGTGGGAAAAGGGCAGTGTTAAGTTTTGGTGAAAAAGAAAAAGTGTGTGCCTGGAAAAAAAACAGCTAAATATTGCCAACTTGTTTCTTCCATTTATGAGGTAAATCTGTCCATCAGTTGACACTGTGTCAGAGATTTTCTCAGTGAAAAAGAAACTGGGAGTATGAAACATGAAAAAGATTGAAATGGTTGAAGGCTGCAAGGGACGCCTGCGAGGATGTGTTAGTTATTTGAATGGGTAGGGAGAGGAAATGCTACAGATGGAACAGGGGCTGATGTAGTTATTAAGGAACAAATTAAGGTACTTGGATAGCAGGACGAACATAACACATTATGTACACAAGTGTTCGTACAAAATGTATTTTGCCCTAGTAAGTAATATAATACAGATGAATACTGCATAAGATCATATCAGGAAAGTTATTAAGCAAAATACATATTCCAGTTTTTCATATTCTTTAATTCCAAAGATCCTAACTACAGTATTTTGTTCATCACATACCACTGTAATACATTAATAAATAGAGACAGACTGAAACATTAAAACATCCCAATTTACTGCCATCCCCACATTACTATCGGCACTGGTAGCAGACAAAGAGTGGCACTCTAACAGGGTTAGACTGTACATCTGTTTATTCACAATATCAATTTGCAAACAGAATTTTACTGACATGAAACACTGTGTGCTAACTCTGTAGAAGCATACTGAATACTTGTGCAGATGGTCGTGAGATTGAATCCTGGTTGAGTTAAAATATATATAATATAATATATTTTTGTTTCATGCAGCCACCACATTGATTTTACATTGTACAAAGATTTACTGTACCAGAGTTATGTATTTTTCAAATATCTATAACAGTTTATCATTATATGACTCTACATTGTGGCTCCAGTGTCACTCCCACCTTGAAAGTTCTTCTGTCCACCACATTGGTATTACTGACTTTAAGAAATTAAGAAGTATGAGTTAGGGTAGCCTCCAGTGGTATAATATCCTCACCAAATTTAATAAAAATCCATATCCATGGGGCAGATGGATAGTCCTATATGCAATCATTTCATAGAAGGAATGCATAACAAATGATTTTTGAGAAACCATATCATGACATCCACTGTGTGAGGTAATGCTCATTTATTCCTGTAACTGAAGTTAACTAATAAATTCTGCCTTTTCCTCATCAACATTTTACCAGCTCAGATGGGTGCAAAAGCTGAGAATCAAACAGTAGTTCAAATTATCTGTAATGCATTTTTCAACTTTTTTAATAAAATACAGTTATGTTCTACACATTCCTGTTTAGCCATCATAGCACAGGACATGCATGTGTAAATTATCTAAAAAAAAATTAAGCTCTAGTACTTTTACCTCAAAATTTGAGCTACTGAATCAGCCACAAATAAACAAAGATAAAATAAGGGTGCATAAATTATATCGTGGTAAATTTATTTCTATGGGTAATGAACATTTCAAACATAACTGTTGCATGTAAGACCAATTTTATGGAACTCAAATGTAAAATTCTAAAAATTAACTAGACCAAATTTATTTGATGTCTATAACAAAAATTTATATTAATCTCAGAGGAGCTAGGCATTAATGCAAGAACTTGTGGTGTCAGGCGAGTTCTGTGAGCGAGCCAGATGCCAGGAGGAAATGTGTGAGAATGGAGGCCGGTGTATAGTGCTTGGTGACAAGGCTGCCTGCTACTGTCCACCCGGATTTACTGGACCCAAGTGCCAGGTCTCACAGGTTAGTTACATTGGAAACAAACACTCACTGTGGCATATGTACATTACTCAAACCCAAATTCAGCCCTCGATTTTGATTAACAAGGAATACTCCGAAGTGACATCGGACAGTAATAAACACAACACTGTAATGCCATCTGGCTGCATTATTATATATGACTGTTAAATATTATTTTTCCATCTGTATTTTTACGTTTATTACGGAGGTCCAAAGGGTGCATACATTTCTGTTTATCTCTGAATTCTGATTTCTCTTATTGCAGGGTACAGGCTAGTTTCCCAGACTGGTGGCCTGCACTCACATCACTGCCACTGGTCTGCTAGATATAGACCAGTCTATGTATCTGTCTAATCTGCATCTTGATGAGTGGACCTTTTACCTGCTACTCATGGCATCCGGTTTGAACACCACAAACACTGCAAGATATCAAGCCACCTTCCAACACTGAACATGTGACACATTCTAATTCTGTTATTTTCAGTGGTTAAAAGCGACTATTTAGATTATATATGTGCACATTCAATAAATGTGCCAAATGCACACATCAGAGTCCAGAATTCATAACAGTGCAATTTCTGCAATAACGTACTCACAGAGCAGAGCTAAGGACTTCTGCCAGTTTAAACCCTTTTGTGTTGAAGTGTCTAGTCTAACAGTAGGAAGTAATAACATCTGTACAGCTGAATCCATTACTCTTTAAATGACAAAACAGAGTCAGTTTAACTACCAGGCCCTATTTGAACATGTGTCATGTTAACTGATATTTTAGTAACTTAATGATTCTGTCAACATTTGTGACATTCAGAGCAATTATGTTGCAGTCTGTTCACTGTCTGAGGTGCAACACATCCATGACCTTTCAGGAGTTCATTCTGTGACCGTGTTCAAGCAATTGGTTGTCATTATACTAACAGGTTCTTTTATTTGTTATGTTTCTGATACAGTGGCAGCAGTCAGATCTGAACCGAAAACCACTGCGATACTAAATGCATATGCCACGCAAGTAATCTAGTGGTTAGCACACAAGTGAAGCATTCAGTGATTACAGGTGGTTCCAACTATTCAGATTAATACTGAAAATGAAACAACATGTGTCAGTGTAACGACAACCAATCCCAGAATGAAAGTCTTCAAGCTTCCTCAGCTGATCAGCAGGGCAGCGCTTCAGAGCGTCAGATTTAACCCAGCTGATTGCCCAAGAAGATTTTAGTAAATCCCAAATATGTATACCAAAGATCTCCAGCAATGGAGAATGTCCGACAAAAATGCAGTATATTTTAGTCACTTGTTATAATGTCTCCATAATACATAATCTAGTTGTGCTGTGTCATAGTGAAGCCAAAGAGACTTCTCAGACAACCGATTCTTGTAACTTCACTAGAAAAGTTTCTAATGGAAAACTTCTCACATGTAAAAACATAATTAATTAAAAATTACACACTGACACCTGCCATCACTATTACTCCTTAGTTCATGTCCCTCACTCAACCTTCTTATGGGACATGTAACCATCCCTTTTCTTCCACCACACGTCACACTGCTTATTTAGTATAGTCGTAGCCTGGTTTGCTCATATGGTTACAGCTTCTTGATGTGAGATGTGTAAAGATACAGAAAGGGATTGTTGATGATGGTGTGAGGTTGTCGGTGAGCACGAGTTTCCGACTCCCCGGGAATATACGGGAATTAGAAGGTGGAGCAGGTTTCTGCACAAATGGATAACAAAGTCTTTCTGTGTTGCACTGATCGACGACACTTTATTTTTCCTTAATACACGCAGGAACGTATATATCTTAAGCACTATTCACGGAGGCAGCTAGATGGCTCGGCTGTTCCTATGTTCTTTTGTATGTTTGCTGAAGAAAATCACCCCCGCTCAACCGAAGGACCAAAACTTTTGAGAGCGCCCCGCAACCACGATCGCGCTTAAATACCCCTGCATTACGTAATTTGTCATTGAATTTGGCTTAAACGCGGCGATCTGATTCGTTCCTCCACAATGGCGGGAACGCGCCTATAAGCTGTGTTCAAAGTCAATTGGTCCATCGCAAGGATGCGATGGTCATAATGCAGTCATCACCCCGCATCTGGAAGGGATGCACACCATGTGTGGGGTGGCTTAAGTATTTTCTTTGTTGGTTTATGTTTGCCTTTTTTTCTACTCCAGGCTCCCTTGGGACAGAAAGAATGTCGAGGAGGGAGACCCGCAAGTGGCCATGTTGGCGGTCCGTTCGGGAAGTGAACCACAGACCTGGACTGGCACAGACATTAATCTTCCACCTTAATATTTCTCAAATATGATCCTCATGGAATAAACCTTATTTTCAGACACCTTCTGCCACATTATAAAAACTAGGACACGCTTGCTCACGTTGTCTTCCCCTGCCCTTCCCTCTGTAACCTCTGTTATCAACTTCCACCTCCCACAACTGCAAGCTGAGCTACAACATATACAGTTGCCAGCATTATGAAAATTATATGAACGGTCTTCGGACCCTTCATACCATGAAGACGCACGGGAGAGAAGTCGCATAAACCAACAACTTTCACCTCTATTGTTGGCTGTTCATTTCTTTACTTTCCAAACGTGTATCAGTTTCATGAAGCCATCTTCAGTGTCCATACACTGCATATTTGGTTCAGTATGAAAGATAAAAGAGTACATTAAATTGTAAAAACCTATTATCAGATGACTGATTCACACAAACTTAAAAGTGAAATTGAATGTTTAATTTAAAAGAAAATATGTACATTTAAGCACCCCACATTTATTTATAGTCACCATAAATCAAGGAAAATTATTGTTCTACTTTGTATTCACTTTGCATTTATTATAATATAGTTACTGTATATTACTTTCACTTTATATTTTTACAGAAGTCAGTATTCTCACATTTAATGGCAGTCTAGATCCTGGAAATTTTCAGTCAGTTGCGTTACACTTATATTTTGTGTTATCTTCACTTCTTGTTGTAAAAAACTAGTGTAGTGAATACAAAACAACGCCCCACAATGAAGAAGCCACTAAACACACAAATCCATCATCAACCCATTGAGTACAGGGAAATTTTGAAGACCAAACTTGCCACAAGGAATGGGAGAAAAGCGACTTTCACAATAAGTGATAATAATGCATAACATACTCGTAATGTTACTGATAGAAATTTTCAAAGACCTGAACTGCTGTAAAATTAGAATACAGATTGCTGCAGCAATATTAAGTAAAAGTAATGCACAGTGATTGCAAAGTGCAAGAATAATTTTCCATTACTTGTGGTAAGTGTGGTGCTCAAATGCACATAAATACTTTTAACTCAAATATTTAACCTCAGTTGTAACGACTGTGTAATTCAGTCATCTGATAATAGGATTTTACAATATAATGTACTATTTTTATCTTTTATACTAAACCATATATGCAGTGTATGGACAATGAAGATGGCTTCATGGAAATGAAAGACACTTGGCAAGCAAAGAAATAAACAGCCAACAATAGCGGTGAAAGTTGTTGGTTTATACGACCTTTGCATTATGGTAATAACAGCTTTTGGAAATATGTTATCATCTCCTTAAAAAAAAACATCACTGTGCTTTACCCACAGCACTTTAACTTTTAGGTTAAGTTACGATCGATTATGCTATATTTATGACTACAGCTTTCAGGTGAGATCCATGTCAAATGTTGAGCATTAACCAATGTTTCAACAGACACTGCAGTTCCACTTTCAAGGTGAACCCAAAAGCCAAAATTATACACTGAACTCCAGCTGTGAAAACGTAAGGACAAGAATGGTCATGTTATAATTTGTATCTGTACCTATAATAAACGAGGAGGCAAAACTGTCACTGTGGTGGGCACACAGTGGTATGGAGAGCCACACAAACCCTAGGGCAGACGTCTTTCCCTCCCATCAAAAACAACCAGAAAGGTGTACTCTTTGAAGCATGAAGAAATTCCACATTCTATGCACTGCCTCCCTAAACATATATCAACAATACAAGCAACCATCCCAATGCTATCAATACTCTTTACATACTCACATACCATCATAATTTGTAGAACTGATGCACATACACAGAAATTAAGTAATTAACTCTGAAGTTATTACCTGCGTATAAATGGACATCACTAGAGATAACTTCATTCAGGCTGATATCATCAGAGGGCAATGACATCATGCACATACAGAAGTTTATGGGTAATGGCATCATCATCCCAACTCACAACAAAGAGCAACCATCATGTTGGTATTGCCAACTGTATGAAATTAAAAATATGATTCTGGATTAGCTTCAAATCACACGTGTCAATATCACATTTAATGAAAACCTGTCCAATTATTCTCAAGTGTAGTTTCTTGGATGCAAACTTCAAAAAACCTACTTTCACCCCAGGATGTGAGTATTTAAAATGAGAGTATAAGTCGTTCAAATTCGACAACATTTGTTCCTGTTCATGTATTTTGAAACCACTGACAAAACTGATATGTAATCTTTGTTATCAGGTGTTACTACACTCACTTCATCGCTGTTACGGAAACTTTCTTACAACTATGATGGCAACTCTGTTTAAAGTTTTGCCTGCTTTGGAATCAGGTGAAGAGATGACACCTTGATCCACATCAAGCTGCTTTGCTCTCCTAATCATGTTAGAAGCACTTGGGAAAATTTCTTGAACTTTCCAAGTATTTAAACTCTTAGGGAGAACAGTTAAAATTGTCGCATTAAAACTTCTTACAGTTGCTGAATCTTTAAATTTTTCCTTTAACTCTTTTAAAATCTGAGCATCAGGCAATGGAAACTGCATCTGAATTGACATTTTCAGGAATGTCAAGAATTCTTGTTTTCACAGCTTTATCAATTTCTTAAATTTTGCTTGTATGATACCCACCCTTCTCTTTCTGATGGGGTCACTCACCAATCAGCTGCAAACTTTCATTTAAAGATAGCATTCCAGTGATCTCGGCAAACTGTTTCATCTTGTCACTGTCATAATCTCTTCTTTTATTTGACGCATCACACTTTAGCTTTGATGTGTTCTTACACTTGTCGCACACTGTTTAACTAAGGATGCTTTTCAGTCACCAAAGAAATTGTGTTTCTTGAGTTGTTTCTGACACTATTGTCCAATTTCAATAAATGGGTTACAGCACAAAGCACTGGTGATATGAGATGTCATAATCATTGTAAATACACTTCATAAATAACATTTATAACAAAGTAAATATCTCTTACACAAAGCAGAGAACATTAGAACACGTGAATATTTCAAGTGCTCTGTAGAGAGCTCTGGTAACAGAGCCTACACCACATGAAACCTTCAGATCTGCCAATGCAGACACTGCACGACTTACACTGATCAGGTAAATAATGCAAGTCGGGCATGCCTGGACCTGTGAAACATGTACAGCTAACTGAATTCTGTTTCAGAAGATGTACTGTTTGTCGTGTGATTTAAAATAATTCTCCATAGCATATTATAAAACTTATTCAACTCTACATACAGTAATAATCTTAATAACATGTGTGATTTAAAATAATTCTCCATATCATATTATAAAACTTATTCAAGTCTACATACAGTAATAATCTTAATAACATGTGATTGTAAAAAAATATTTTTATAATAACTTAGTTACTTACATGAACCTAAATAAATAAATGCAAGGAATTCAAAACAAACAGGTTGCTTTTAAGTTCCCTCAACAATAAAAGTGAAGTGACTCTTCACAGTAAACCGCTTCACAAAAATGAATCCCACTGCAGTCCCAACTTGATATTTTCAGATGTTTTAAACAACAGTTGCATGCACACAATATACCTTTTCTTAAGAAAAATTAATATAATGCATTCTGAGAAATAAAAGGTCAAAGGCAGTAAAATTTGGCAGGAATACTTATCTCCATTGGGACTACAATCTCACAAAAAGCCATTCCCTTCTGAGGGGGTTGAGTTGTGACCTGTTTTGATTTGACATGGAATGACTCGAATGCAAAGCATCAAAAGGGGAGAATCAGGCACCTGAAGCAGGAATTAAAGGCAGCTAAGAAAGAGATTTGTAGACTGATAATGGAAATAGGAGTAGTAACAGGGAGCAGAGAAAGTCAGAAACTTGGATTAAACCAAAGAATTCAAAACCTACGTGCCACAGGTTCTCTGCTGATGATGCACTTCAAGTTCAACTGAACAACAGATTCAGTGTGCTGGAAACAGACACACTGGATATTGGTCAGCAAACCCCATTTATGTTGAAGCATAAGCGCAAAGAAGCATAATCATCTGCAGGGAAGACAGAAAGTAAAAGAAAGATCTTATTGCTGCGAAGCAGTCATGTGACGGCAAATAAGTTTGATGTTTGGTTTATTTAATGATGCTTTGGCAACTGCAAGGATTATGCAGCACCAAATGAAAAATTGCAGGTTAATTATGAATAGTGAGTTTGGAAGCTTGTGGGCACAGACAGGGTCCCTCTGTTGAAAAGACAGACTTTATGCAGTAACACCCCAGATGTCTGCTCTGTATGCCCATTATTGCTACATCCATAGTGTAGGGCATATGACGACCAGTTCAATCCTGTGAGCAAAGGAACTGGGTAGAGCAAGTTCAAAAATGTAGTGTAACAATCCTGGTACATTCGTTAGGATCACATAGTAGCCACATGGTTTTTCCCCTCCCACACCATCCTCAATTTATTTTCCAGGCAAAAAATTAATAGTATCACATAGCAAGTTTAAAATCTGTCTCAACTGAACCAAATTCTCATTAAGTTCAAGAACTATTTGCACAACCCCAGCTGTAGTTTACATAAATAAAAATTACTTATTCTTGAAGTAACGTCAATCACTGGACCAGTGATTGAGGTTAGCACCTCTCCCTCAGGTTAACCTGAGGATGGAAGTAGATCCAGCATCCAAAACATAGTGTTCATTTCAAAAACACACACGATGGACACAGTCCAAGAATTTAATGACCCTGATTGTAATATACCATTGTCAGTGCCCTTTAAAATTGATCTAAAATGGTATTAGGCACATTCAAAACAAAATTTCAGAAATGCTGTATGGTATTATATAAATATCTCAACAGTTTAATTTTTGTTAGAATTATGCAACATGATGGGTACTTTACATGAAGACCTAACATATTTCTGCATGAAAAAGTGGCACTGGCAATACCCAGCCTGACAGATACCCTGCCCGTGCAAACATACGCGAGGATCTCAGTGATGACGTAACCACACAGCCAGACACCTCTCCCCAGACAGCTCCAGCATCATTTGCATGTCTTGATGAAACTGGGTCTAATAACTATCTAAGCTACTCATGTGAGTATTCATAAAATGAACATCTTGCTGCAATAATGCAGCCTGAACACAAGAGAGTTTTTGTCATGCAAAGAGAGGCTAAGAACCATTCTTTTGAAACATTTATTACATCAAGCTTCTTGACATATATACAACTCTATTGTTACCATTAACATCTGAAGCTACCGATGAAATGGAGCAACACTATTCTTGCACCTGGCATCCCAGTTCGCTCAGAACAAATGCAATTATATGGATACTGAATATTTTACTTTGGGAACACAAAGCTTCTTCTTATCACAGACAAGACATAAATGTCTGCTAGTGTACTCTGAGTGACTCCATTTCAAGTTTAAGTTTCACACCAAATAAAAATTGACCAATTAAACACCTAGACATATAATGGAATTAATAAAATGTAAAAGGACGTAATGAATTATTACAAATGAAGACTCATGAAACCACATTAAATACGAGAGCATATCGGAAAGATACTTTCACGAACTTATTGCACACAGATCTAATATCAACCCAATATATTACACATTTAGTATTGCTGTCCACTGAAGTCACTTTTCCACATCATCACCCTGCATATTGAGACACTTTGCAAGAACAGCGAGAACTATGGCATCAGTGACTATCTGCAACATCACTGCATTCAGACCACACATGGCAACAAATTCCCAATGAATTGTTGCTAGAGAAAGGCCTTTTTGAAAGCAGAAAAATTATTGATTGAAACTGCACGATGCACCATTCCCACAATGGTAGTAAAATTTCTAAACAGCTGTGTGGTTCTCTGAGGGCAGCTACTACTGCATACTGACTACCACATACTTTTGTTGCCATGTTGACTGTCCAAATCTAAATGAAGATATGACTAAATACATACATGAAAGTAACTTTCAATCCATCCCTTTATATCATGAACATCTAGAATTCATTCCCATGAATATGCTTCAGTACGTGTCTTTTGTAAGAAATAAACTTATTCCCTTTATTTATGTGTAATGATAAAAAAAATAATTTAAACACTGTCCTCCTAAACATAAATAGTAACCATTAATAATATTTCTATTGACATTTTCATATGCCCATGCTCAGAGGCCACCGCTACAATACGTCTGCTTGTTGAAGGTCAAGCTCATCGCTACAGCACACTGGCGTCAAATACAGGGAATGCAGGTATACATACACATGCACACTCATATGCATGCATACACACAGACCAGTTTTCATGAAAGCAAAATGGGCATAAGAACATCCTAACAACATACATCTGTATGGATCAATGTACCACAGTGACAATGTCGTCTCTCATTGAAATGATTTCTGGATTACCACTGCTACATCTTTAAATTCTTATCCCATTCCCTTTCCGCTTCTTACATGTTGCAGTTTCTTCTGAGTCTCTTCATGCCTTACATAGGCACCGTAATCAAAAGTTGAACAAACGACAAAATGCAATTTTGACTGATCTATGTGGTCTACTGTACACACCACACACAGCCTTTCCATGACTCATCAGTGATCACTGTACAGTCTGAAATAATGCAATGTATAGTGAACAGTGTCAGTCATTCCTGAATGCAACCAGATGACTGACTAGGAGAAGTGAAATCACTCTACAGTCTCAGCACACACACACTGCTGGCAGTCACTTGCTTTCATCAAATGATCTTCTTGTACATATAACATTCCCAATTAGAGTTCCTTTGGGGAAAAACACTAAACTTAAAAAAAAAAAAACTTTAATGGGGACACCACTGACGTTTAACCTTAAATGAAGAAATGTCAACATTAAATGGTTGTCATACCGTTGTGTAAAATGGCCATACAGAATGAAGGGAAAATATGGCATTAAATACTGACTTCACCTCTGGTGTACATAAATCAAAACATGGGCTTATGCCCCCAGTTCCTAGGAACTATGTCTGATAACACAGGGATACATACCAACCAGGTTAGGTTAAGCACAACGAGGACACAACACAGTGTTAGTGGTGTTGGTGGGAGCTGTCGTCTTTCATGCAGAGGTGGAATGACGGCACCAACATCAAGGTAGGGGTGGCGTGACATCTCAGCACTCGTTGTTGCACTCTGAGGTTCACTTTAGTCACTGCACCCCCCTGCATCAGGAATCACGCACATCAATATCTGTGGAAATCTAGAATTCTGACAATATGGAGCAGTCATGGTGCAAAATCTACGTAAATTACATGAAACCCATAAAATAATATAATTTATCTTGTGTCAAATATTTGAGAATAATTTGCAAAAGTAGGCAGTTAACACTGTTATCAGGGCACTTGTGGTCTCAAAACCCTGACTGTTCTTCAGGTGTGCACATTATGGGATCCATGACTGTAGGTCTTGAAGTGTAAATATTATGAAAACAATCATCACAGTCAGTGCAATCAGAAGTAAAAGTGGTTACAGATTAAACTTCACATGCACTGGGAATTTATCTCTTCATAACATTCAGATTGTCTGTGGAACAAAGTTTTGAATTGTGTGAACAAAATTTTTTTCAGAAGTAGAATCTAATGATGGTGAAAATGAAACTCATTATATTCTAGAATATTATTACAAAAGCAGTATATCAGACAGTGAGCAAAGTGATGGGCACGCAAATCCACAATCAGTGGGCATGGTAACATAAACTGGCAAACAAATCTTCGGCTCCTGGGTATCCCCCACCTTAAAATCGAAAGCGCAGAAGTGCTTAAAATATATTTATTGCAATTACCTTGGTTTTAAAATTCACTAAACCCATTAAATATCTTTCATCAGAATATCAAGGGACTATAGAACAAAAGTAACAAATTAATACATTCTTTTGAAAGAGGCAGCATAAATCCCCGCATACTGTGTCTAAGCAAACATCACATGGAACAATAGAATTTGCTGCACCTCACTTTGGATGGTTACCTATTAGGTTCAGTTTCTGCAGACAAAACATACAGAGGAGAGACGTATAGTTTTGTTAAGAAAGACCAATGTCTCAACAAAATTAATATCTCACATCACTGTTAAGAACAGACTTTGGAAATCTGTGCAGTTCAACTATAAACAGAAAATATCCAATTTAATTATACTAAGCTTCTACAGAGCTCCCTCAGGAGATTTTCATCAATTTTTAAGGGTATGCTGCATTAGAGTATCTCTACAATCCAAAATCTAAATTCTTAATCTGTGACAATACAGACCATCTCAATCGAGAAGGGGGAGAGGGGTGAACTCATCACTAACCACATATATCTTTGACACAGACTACAAATTTTGCAACAAGAATTCAAAATGACTCCAGTACAGCAAATGATATTTTTGTGGATGGTGTCAGATTTATTTCATCTTCTACTTCTAGAATAATAAACGGCCTATCAGACAATGAGGCCCAGTAACTTATAATTAATAATATTGCTGCAGCACATAATTTAATACCTTTGAATCAGAGAACAAGAACAGTAAATAATGACACAATCATGTAGTTTCAGCCTCTTCTACAAAGTCTGTTGACAAAGACAATGGCACCAGCAATAAGTTTGACTAATTTTTTGTAAACATTTCTAAATATTTTTGAAACTAGTTTTCCAATTAAATATAAAAGTATAGGCAAAATAAAGAATAACTGAATTACACAAGGAATAAAAATATCTTGCAAATGTACAAGGAGTCTATACACCAAGAAGAGGAATAATAATTACCCAACAATCATAGAATTATTGTATGAAGTATTATAAAATCTGAATAATGTTATAGAAGAGGCTAAAAAGCAGCATTACAGTAGACTTATAGCAAAATTAGATAATAAATAAAATAAAATCAACATGGAACATAATAAAAAGAGGGTGAAAGTAACAATACTTTTAACCAAACAGATGCCATCTCTTCTTACAAACAATAAAACAGTAAACGGTCCAGAAACAGTTGCAAACGCCTCCCACGACTTTTTTATAATAATTACCGAAAGCTTAAATTTAAATGAAGTGGGGAGAGAATATGCTATTTCATTTATAAAAAAGATGCACTTCCTGTAAAATTTCCCAGTAATAACATTATTCCAACCGCTGAAACCAAGACAAATAAATATAACATATTCCCTCAAATAAAATACTCTTCACGTTATGATGAATTAGAAGTACAATGTTGAAATCTTGTTAAGGTTTCATCCACGAGCCTACATCTGTAATCACTCACTATACCACTTTACACAGGAATTTTTCAGGACCATCTTAAAATGTCACTGCACAACAAAGGTAACACATTTAGTATGACAAAGTACAGGCCAATTTTACTAATTAAGTAACTAACTAACTATATGGCTTAGGAAACCCAAAGGTTCATGACTCCACCTGTCCCTGTCCTGAACCAACAAAATCCAGTCTGTCAACTCCTATCTCCCATAGACCCAGCCTGAGATTATCCTCCCATCTACATCTAGGTCTCCCCAGCGGTCTCTTCCCCTCAGGCTTCCTGACCAATACCTGGTGCACACCTCTCGCCCCATCCGTGCGTACCACATGTCCCACCCATCTCATTCTTCTTGACTTAATCACCCTCACAATACTGGGAGAAGAGTGCAATGTTAAAGCTCATCATTATGCAGCCTTCTCCATGCCCAATCCTCAACTCTCCTACACCAAAATATCCTCCTCAACACCCTATTCTTAAACACCTGCAATCTGTGTTCCTCCCTCAGATTGAGAGACCATGTTTTGCACCCATACAAAACAACGGGAAAAATTATTTTGTATGTTTCAATCTTCAGGTTCTTAGAAATCAGATGGGAAGACAAAATATTTTGAACTGACAATTTAGTCTCCTAACTTCCTCATGAATATAATTTTGATCTGTTATTGTTGTTCCTAAATATTTGATGTAAGATTTGAGGTTTTCACAGCGGTGAGTATGAAGATTTCCGTCTTCTGGGTTGTTGTGCTGTGTAGTCTGGTCGATGTTAACCAACGTTTCAGAGGTCATACTGCCTGATGACGGAGGCAGTATAACCTCTGAAATGTTGGTTAACATCGACCAGACTACACAGCGCTACAACCCAGAAGATGGAAAACTAAATATTTGATCTTTGCAACACTTTCAAAGGATTTATTAGCCACCCTAACATGATTATGCCCACCTGTCTGCTGACGAGATACTAACATGTACTTAGTTGTTTCTGATTTACTTCTAGCCCTACCTTTCTACTAGCTTCTATAGTAAAACTTCTGTGTTCCTCTTTATCGGTTTACTATTATTTAATTTTTCTAAAGTACCTAAAGGTTTCCTTGTCTTTATATAATATAATCTGAATACAGTATGTAATGGGTGGATGTATTTGTAACATCACTAATTAGGTGAACCTATCTTTATAATATGCGGAATTTCATAACACATTATATTACCATAATTTATTCCACTTCCTATTGTTATCACACTAACTTTTGGACCCATGGAATGTAATAAAAAGTGTGTGTATGTACATAAAAAATGTCATCAAAATACTTTGTGCATGTGTGCCTGAACAAAAAATGCATCATAATTTATATAAAAGTGGAAATGTTCCTTCATTCTAGCTTATTTTGTAATAGGATATTATCAACAATTGTGTTATATTTGCTAGTATCACTATAAAGAGGTGATGTGTCACATTCAGGAAAAATGCATTCATCCTCATAAAAACAATAACTCGCAAGTTAATTTTTTTTTTATTGTCATTCATTATAATAAGGCTTGTTGTAATGATTATAGTTTGTCAGTCCACAGAAGCTTGTTATAACTTGATTTTACTGCAATAAAGTTTTTGAAACATTAGATAGCATCATAAGTTCAAATAAACATCCTGGGACTAATATAAAAGTAAAAAAAAATAGTATAAAAATGCCTACTACGTTACATTTCACAAATACACATACTTGGCAATAAACTGCACATTCTGACTGAATGTTTTCTGTATTATGAACAAGCTAAGTATCGAAAGACATATTAATCACAAGCCAAGCTGTTTTTAGTATGCTTAGAATATTGACATAATTAGCTCTTCTCAGAGTAATAAATAAGCACAAGGAAATAACACCATTGAAAATCAATATAAAGATACATTTGAACCATGTCCTTTACCCTTTCTATGCTACTAACACAACTGTTTCATGGTAACACTTCATAGAAAAGGAAACAAATTCCTGAACTTGTACATTTCATAGAAAACCTTTCCGATTTCAGCTGTGAAGTCGCAAATACCAAACATTATATGTTTATATTCACAAATCAAGTTATGAGATTAAAACTGCTCAGATTTCTGTTTGAATCACAAGAACTACATTTTCACACGTCATCAACAAAAAATTAAACTGAACTGATAATTTTACTACGATGTTTCAGACTAAGAAGATATTTTCATATACCATAGTTGAAAATGGGTGTATTCTGGGTCCTTGGGCCACATAGTCTAGTAAACGTTTATCAGCGTTTCAGAGGTGCTTGCAGCCTCTATCATCAGGGCAATGGGTCAGTAAACGTTACCAGACTACACAGCACAACAAACCAGAAGACAACCGTCTTCACACCTGCTTCCACGAGAATGTGAAATCTCACATATACCACATTTAGTTGCAGTGAAGGCTCCAGAACTTAAATCTACAAGACGGTTAACAAAATCCCTTACCTATGTCCTGCATTTTGTCTCAAAGAAATACACTCACATTGCTACCAGTCTCTTGACAACTTGCTGCTGGACATCCCAACTGCCATCGCTATGGTGCTCCTAATTTCCGCAAACTAATTATGCAAATTAAGTAAATGTCCCTTGTTGGGTACAAATTTTCCTGATCTGCAGGACTGGAAAGGTTAGAAATTACTGATACGTAGTGCTTTTATCAGAGAAAGGGTTAAGAAATGGATAATGTACCAGCACTTCCATTTATTGTATTCTCCCCCTGCCAAGCCAGCTCATGGCTTGGTATATGAAGGACCCCATACCACGATGCACAGTAGGCCTGGCCCATGATGCAGAAGGGGACTCACCATCAACCTTGTCCTTCACCACTTCCCTCGCAACAAATTCTCGCAGGCTAGCATAGGCTTTATCCAGCGAGTTGTTCTCCACTACAAGATCAAAGTTCCCTGGTGCATTCCCTGCATCATAAAACAAGACAACCATCCAATGTATCTCACCATAATGAAAGCACTGTAAGAGAATATGGCTAGAACACACTATCACTGGATTGTGGGTAACCACCTACAAGAATAAAACACAATTCATATTTTCACTGCTATTAAAAACTCAAAATAAACACCGCTACTGTTTCCTCTTCAAATTTTCACAACAGGTAAAACATTTCTTGACTAGCTCAGCTACTACCAGTTTCCCAAGGACTCTGCTCCATGAGGTTGACTGGATGGTTGGTTAATACAACACACATATCCTTGATTTTTCCACACACAGTTTTCCTAAATGGAGTCCACCATTATGAAAAATGTATTTAAAGGGATCAACAGAAAGCTGTTAGTTACTCCTGTAAACAACTGCAGTCAGTATTCATGGCTTGTAACGTTTATTTAACAAGACAACAGAGAGATTATCAGTACAAGTTATCATGTTGATGTCCACAAGGAAGAAACCCAGCTCATAACATGATGATATAAATCCTGAACACTATATACATGTTGACTCACACTGACTTTCATTATCAAGAAATGTTACTCATACAGAATGATGTTTCAGTGTCTTGCTATCACCGAACCTTAAAATTTCAAATGCCTCTAACATGCAGTGGGTTAGCATGACACGGATGTGGCCTTCACATGACCCTGACCCAACGATGGCCTAATATTGACATGATTTTTTTCTCTCTCATACTTACAGCTGGCCAAGAAATCTCATGTCATTTTTATGACCTTGAATTTTCAAATGTATCTAGCTGGCAGAAGATTGGTCTGACGTGGATGTGACTTTGGCATGATCTTGACTTAACCATGGCCTAACATTGAAATGACACTCGCCTCTTCCAGAACTATGGTTCGGAAAGAAATTGCATATCCTTATTAAGAACTTGAAATTTCAAATGCCTCTACTAAGCAGAGGATTGATGACACTGGTGTGACCTTAACCTAACCTAACATAACATAAAATGTCTCATTTGTTCTTTCATAAACGTAGATAGTTTCATTTTGTATTATATGGTTTAATATTAGTGTACAAATCAGATCAATGTTATATCACAAAATAAAACAGTAATGGGGAGGAAAGTGAGGACAACCTGAAGGCAGTACTCACCAAACTCAATCTCTTCTCTGGCAGCATCCAATCGTTTCTGAAGGCTCTCTTCTGTCTCTGTTCCACGATCCCTCAGCCTGCACTCCAGTTCCTCAATGGAAGGAGGCATAACAAAAATATAATGTGGGTTCAAGTCTGTCTGTTTCACTTGCTTTACTCCTTGTACGTCTATATCAAGGACACAGACTTTTCCTTCAGACATCACAGCCTGCACTGCTGCCTTACTGCAAGCCAAATAAACACAAACCATATTATTGAAAATGGACAGAAGGGCAGGAAAAGCACTTCCTGAATTGTGAGAAAGTATTAAATTGTTATGTATTCATAATGTCAATCTCTTGTGTGTTATAAAAATGTCAGTCCATTTGAATATTACTGAATATGAAACTCAGATTAACTGCACATTATGGGGTCATATAAATCAGTCCATTTAAATGTAATGTGATCATGTCAGTAAGTCCACTTGCATGTTAAAGAGTTATGTAAGTCAGCACATTTGCATGTCCTATCTCAAATTCTTAATGAATTTGAATTGTTTGACGCTGGGGGTCTACAGCAAAATTTGTCAAGAGAATTTAATTCTAGTTTCATAGCAGTCCAATACAACCCACAATTTGCATGACAAAATGCGGGTGCCATTAAAATCTACAATGTTTATATAAAGTACCTTTCTACATGATGAATATTAAACAAAGCACAAGAAAAGTTAATTTTTGGCCCTTTGAAGTGGGAGATTAGTATTGCAACAATTGGTTTGTATGCACAATTTGTGAACACAGCACAGATCAGTGTGTTATGCAAACTGCCAACTAAAGTAATCCACCATTAGTACATAAGCTCAAGTTTTGCACATATAAGAAATGATGGCCAGAAGGATGGTAGGACAGCAGTTCCAATTGTCCCAAACTTTAAAATAGTTCAACTTTGTGGCATAACTCAACTATTTTCAAAACTTTCCCTCTTGACAACAAGTTAAAAATGTGCATGGCTAGCATCCATCTCTTCACATAACTACAAAAACATCAGTGATTCAATGCACAGCCCATCACCTCTAGTAAAGGTATTTTCAAGTTGTACATTCTGATGATATTTTAAATTCTTTTATAGATGCAATGAATTCTAATAAAGTGCTATGATTTTCTTATTGATAATATTAATATTTTGATTAAAATTATTTATATGCTGTTCAGCATTAGTTATGCATCATCACTTTTATGTTATCATACACCCTTGAAAAGCAAATCCAGTTTGTAAAAAATGTGTAACAAAGTGATACTCCTGATGAAGCCAATGTAGGTCAAAACATGTTAGGTTAAAAACAAAACATCAATAAATATAGTTACATTTGATGATTAACTCATGTAATACTGGTTACCAGCTACATAGCCATCTATTGTGGCTAGGCAGAAAAATATAAATAGTGACTTAATCATCAGTTACCTCACCAGACAGCAACTCAAGTCACTTCAGTACCTAACCAGTTACTGACCATTTAGTCACCTACTATGGTTAATGTAGCTAAATAGTGAAATGCAAACACATCTCCAACCACTGCTACTTCAGGTAATAACTGGTAGTGAAGGAAATTTTTCAGTAACAGTAATTCATACTTTCACTGCTGCCTACCTAACACGATAACTGAAACCATTCATGTGTGTTAATTTCACTGGTAAATGATCATTCATATTCTATGATAGTTGACACATATGTGTCACCAATTAGAACAGCAGGTACCTAATCAAAAATAATATATTATTTCCCATTGTTAGCAACAGTAATTTCAGTCTAACAGAAGTAGTCACGAACTGATGAAGTTTCATTATGCCTTGCACTGGAATAAAGATTATCTTTAAATGTTAAATACAGTCACAGCAACTTCTGGGCACACCGTGATAGGTTCTGTCATGAAGGATCAAAAAATGAACTGTCAATTTTACTTCCCACAACTTCTATACTTAGATAAGCCATGAGGTGAAAACCAAATCCATGCACGCAAAACTTAAACCTCAATCTGAGTGCCACTGTAGTGGCAGGAAGTTTCAACCACTTCAGACACATAAGCCACTGAGGCTATGATGACACACGTGTGTCAACAGGTCTTGGGGTAGGAGCTACATGATATGCATGTGCTTCATGTAGGAGTGAAAGTGCCGGTAAGCCCTATGCAACCAAGAAAACATAATCTCAGGACAAATGTAACTTTCCACTTGTATTACATACCTCGTACCATACAAGTTTTTACAGAACTCTGCTGATTCAATGAATTCACCATGTGCAATGGCCTCTCTCATTGCTTCCTTGGTAATGAAGTGGTAGTGTTTTCCATTAACCTCTCCTGGTCTGGGATTTCTTGTTGTGTGTGAAACTGAGAAGCCAAACTTATGTGGAAACTCGGCAAACAGACGTTGCAGTAATGTTGACTTCCCTGAACCTGATGGCCCGCACAAAACAAGAGACCGGGGACCATGCTGCACCATATTGTGTGTATCTGTCACCAGACATACAAAATCAATCAAGAACATACCATGTTTTTACTTAATGACAACAAAGCAATTGAATCAGAAACAGTGCAACACTAAATCATGACTGGAAGGATTATAGGAGGAAACAGTGATTACCTACTTTACCTCAGTAATCTAGCAAATTATTATCCCCAGCCCCGTGAATATTTGTCTTTACAGTATTGTCTACATTAATTAGTTTAAAAGATATTAATCAGGTTTTACCCATTCTTTCTGTATGAATATAAACAGCTAATTGAGTCCAATTTTCATCATCAAATTAACTGCACCCTACATTTGTTGAATGCTTAAATGCATATTATAGTGACAAACTACAAAAAGTAATTAAATATTCAGATGGAGACACTATTTTGTACTATAGAGTAAAAGTGTCAACAAAACTTTCTTTTAATAACAACATTCCATTGTAACTCAGAGAATCTGAAGCCATGTTTGTTTTCTAGATTATTACTTCTCAGTGTCTCACATTATAGTGTGCGTTGAAAATTGTGTTAATTAAAAACTTCACATGCCACTCCTATCAGACAGATAATTTCAGTAGTATCCACCCTCTAAAAATATTAAAATATATCACAGTATGAGGCTGCAAGAAGTATTTCCACATGTTCAAATACTGAACTTGGTGCCATCTGCTCCAGCATAGGCCACCATCATCCTAGCCAAAACGCTTAAACTCTGAAGACGGAGAGACATCAAGTGCCTCCAAAACGCTGGTATACACTCACAAGACTACACTGTCAAACAACCTTAAAGATCACAATTAGTGGGAGTTTTAGAATAAAGTATTCATGAAAGGATAAAGCGAGAATTCAGAAACTAATACAGGTCACTTAGCAATGTCAAGATAATGTGATCTAGAAGGGCATATGTTTAGAATAGTGGCACCAAGAACTACACATACAGGGCTATACCAAGATGATTCTTAAGAAGAAAGGTTGTGAAGGGTGTAACTGGATTTGATAATGTTCAATGGTAGGCTTTGAATAAGTGTTAAACCTGAATGATATGTTACCACAGTGTTACTTTGCATACATAACAGAAAATTTACAATTTGAGAAAATGAAGGAAGTTTCTCTACTTTAAAAATAGTGACAGTAAAGGAATGCTAGAGTGGCACAAAGTAGTTTTGCTAGTACACATAAACACAAACAAATCCACTTTATGCATTAATTTGTAAGACAGAATCTTAAGCATAGTTCATAAGGCCTTTGCTGTAGGGTTATTATTATTATTATTATTCAGTGTTCTGTCTGACGACAGGTCCATTGCTCTGCCCAAAAAGAGCTCTCCAGTTGTCTCTATTCTCAGCTTCTCGTCTTAATTCCTGAAACTTCATCTTCTTTCCTTGTTTCAGATCGTCGGTTAGCTGTATCAGTCTTCTTCCCAGTCCTCACACCTTCACATTTTGAATTACACTCCTCTCTTTTGGCATTTACATTACAAAATAGCATACAACAAAAATTGTAGAAATGCGTTCAGAAAACCTGATACAAATTTACCAAACCTGTTACACTGGGCTATTGCTGTATCAATGGATTGATAGCCATCATTTAAGATACCATTGAGATTCTAAGCATCAGGACAAGATTTTCAGCCCACCAATTTGTAAAAGACAGATTAAGTTACAGGAAATTCTGCCTGCAGAGACCTTTGTCTGACTCACTTAAAAAATGTCTGGTGATTAAAAAAAGAGAGATACACAGTCCATAATTTACCAGAAAACTTCTCCCTTTGTTTATGACTGAGCCCCCTGCTGCCCCTTCCATAGTAGTCACAGGTATGGGTGTAAAATGGTTGAGGCAGAATGCTCAGGAAGACAGTGCAGTTATTAAAACAGAACATACATTCAATCATTCTGAACCTAGTAGGAAAATTGCTTATGTTGAAAAACATGTTCTGCATGTTTTCTGATACCTCCAATTAAATCTGCAAAGAGAAACTTAAATAAGCAGTTAAGTCTGAAACCATTAATATCTCATTTTACTGCTAATATCTTCAACACAGAACATAATACAATGAGCAATAATAACAACAGCTTCAACACCTAGAAACCACAGTACTTAGTGATGTGTTGCACTCTGCCAACAGTGCCAAACACCAAAATGAACTATGATTCTTTTCCCGAATTCAAGCAACTGACACTCCATCTGAAGTGGTTTGATAACCAGCTAATCAGGGGTGCATGAAGATGAGCATCAGTGGAATGACAAAAGACAGAAAAAACAGTACTTGGACAGAAACATACAGACTGACACTCTGTCATGGCCAGCCATTGGGGTGGGCAAATTTGGCAGTCATCCAGTTTAAAAACCTTCCACTCGGTTCACTCTCTTCGCTGGGACCTATAACATTCTGCAGTGGTAAACTGCCCTACTGAAAATGTGAAACAGAAAATGAAGTAATTGGTGTGGTGTACATACAGTAGCTTTGTTATCAGAGAAAATTTAATTAACAATGTACTCATTTGACCAAAATTATCTCCTTTCAAACCAAATATTTAAAACAATAAAAGTTAAAGTCATTCATGTGATTAGACAATACACCCATGTTGCCCTCAGTGGGCTAGTGGTTAGTGTGCTCACCACTGGACCCAAGGTTCACGGGTTCAAGCTCGGCTGAGGTAGATGGATTTTTAAGGGCGATAAAAATCTGCAGCACAACTTCCTTCGGAGGGGAAGTAAAGCCGGCGGTCCCACGTTGTAGATTTACGGCTTGTAAAAGAACCTTATGAGCATGATACAAGATGTTTCGTAAGCAAAATTCAGCAGCATACACTCATAAATGCATGCTTCAAAGACAAAGAAACCTCCCACATGGGAGGAGGCCAAGGCTCGACTTTGGGCTGTTGTGCCATAGAAAGAAAGAAGACAATTCACCACAGTGACATATGGAGGAGTCAAGGTTAAGTTACACACTTTCTTGTCTTCAGTGTCAGCTCCACATCCACTTTACTGCCTGATTATAAGCCATTGGACAGGTTTCATGGGCCGTGAGATGTGGTCAGGATGTGACAGTGAAAGAAAATCCTCTCTGCTTCTGGGAATTAAACCAGTCTAGTTCACGGGTAATCACTGACTCGGCTAACACAGCTCATAAATGTTTACATTTTGAAATGTGTTATGCACACTCTAATTTCTGTGCACTTTCATTCATTTCAAATACATTAAGCAAATGTATATCAGACATAAAGGTCCTGAAAATCACATATAGTTAGAGATCCATATATGTAACGTTATGTGTCTATAGATGTACACAGCACTCAAAAAGTTCTTGAGCAGCCACACACTGTGACACTCAATAAAAGCTGCTGTCAGTCTGCAACTTTCAATCTGCACCGTATAAACAAATAACAGCTTGTTAAACATTCAGTAAGTGTTCCACTTCTGTGTTCACTGGAGGCGCACACTATCAGTTAATCATGATTTCTGAAAGTGAAAGATGTCAAAGTTGGGAATCATGCAAACACCAAAATCTGCAGACACTTATGCAGATCTGCTTCAGAAAGATAGGAAATGATGCATCAGGTTTATGGAGAAGATACCATCTCATAGCACCACATCTGAATGGCACCATATATTCCAAGAAGAAAGAAAATGTTTAGGGGATTACTGTGCTGGAGGTCATTTAACAAATACATAATCTGGTATTCAGCCATGCTTCTTCTCAGGGAATAAATAGACTGGTGGAATGTTTACACAGATACCTGTAATAGTTTGAAACTTATGACTCTTATACCATTTTTTTAATCAAAAAACCAATGTGGGAATAAATTTAGGAAGGTGAAACTTACCCAACACACACAAAGGATTGCATTATCAGATAAAAATTTAAAGACGATGGAATTTCACTGGAGTGATTAAAAACTTTTAATGTGCAGGCAAAAAACATTTCCTCATAATAGACAATAATACATGATACATGCTTCAGAACAATTTGAAATTAACAACCATTATACATACAGTTAAACTTCCTTCTTTTTGTGAATTACGTCTGTAATAACAAGATGAAGTCTATACTGCCGTCCATTCCCTCCATATAATGATGGTGCTAGCACAACAGACAAATATGAACAAGGCAAATGTCATATATCTTCTCTTTGTGACCATGAACATTCCAAAATATCCTTTTCTCTCCATAAATTTTGCAACAATATGACATTCCTCATGAAGTGCAGTGAAACAAACAATATACCAGTCAGCAGCAACATACTTACTGGGACACAACCAGCCTGTCTGTAAAATAAGTTAATCCTGTGACACTTTGGCACCCATATTTTCTTTATCTTAATCTTAATCTCTGGAGTGTTAATGGGCACAAACTTATGGTGGCCCCATATACCACAGTGAGTTTTAGGATACTGTAGCCTATCTGTCGGTCTCAGAACACGTGCCTTCATTTCTTTCTGCGTTATTTACAAAATTTAATTCAAGTGAGATTTTCTTTCGCCCATTTATATGAAAATTCTGGGGTTAAAAAGTGGTTTGTCTACATTACAGGAAAGCATTCTGTTGCAGATTATTTAAACAATAACAGCACTTTTCATCATGAATTATGCAATATATAAGCATGTGTTACCACAACATTAATATATTATGAAAACAGTAAAATGCATAACGTACTATATGTTTTAGCCACCATCGCCATCCTTAGGTGTAAAGACTTAGAAAGTGAAAATATTAAGAATGCAAGATTGCAAATAAATATATATATATATATATATACATTACAACAGAAACAAATTAGGAAGAGCATAAACACATGTAAAATTTCACTGAATTAAAAAAATGTTTAAATGTGTATCTGCAGTGAACACAGTTCTCAGGATAACAATGTTTTACACAATTTGTAGCCATGTCCTAAAACTGCTTAATTTCATTAGTATCTACAGATTTAGTAATAATAAAAACCTGAAACTGTGGGTAAAATTTCCCTTCATGGATATCCACCTGTAATATAAAAATCACAAAAAATAATGATGGCGTGGATGATAATTAAATTTTGATGAAAGACTCCCGGGTTACAAGTCGCATCAGGTGGGAGTCTTTCATCAACTTCAGTTGCCACGAAAGTTCACTTTAGAATTAAACTTTGTTTGATTTGGTACAGAATGCCCTGGCAATGACAGTAGTTGCATCTAGGTCATCTATGAGTTTTCTTTTTTAATTTTACTCCATACAATCAATCACAAAGTTGGTTTAACATTTTAAATAATCTCTCCTTCCATTAACCATTATTGCATGGGAAAAGGAAATTTAAATCGTGCATAAGACATAACATAAGGCTGATCATAGTTAATGAAATGAGTAATATATTCTTCACTATTTGAACAGAATACCACATCAGCCATGACCAAATTAACATAAATTACAAAATATTCATACTGAATATAACCTGATTAGGATCATCTGGTTCAGGAAAAGCATCACAGCTGATAAAGCTATCACTGCATTGTGTGTGTGTGTGTGTGTGTGTAAATTCTTCCTTTCAACGTTTCCCACATCAAAAGGGAACCTGCCATAATTTGGCTCTTGCTCAAAATGCTCTTCAATATAATGCACATGCCATTTCTTTACAGTACTGAAATTCTACAAACTAATAACTTACATTGTTGATAGAACTCGTGCACAGAGTTGGCCCAACAAAGCCTGGTAGTAACTACAAATCCAGCCAGCTTTAACAATCAATAATTCTGCATTTTGCCTACAGAGTGTATTTATTAGTTTCTCATGATTCTCAAAACAAATAGCAACTGTTTTCCTAAACAGCATTACCTAGCTGATGTCTGTGATGGAGATCCATTGTGTATTCTTTGAGATAGGGACAACACCTAATCAGAAGTTCTAAAATTTTTCCAAAGCAAGGGCCAAATTCACACTTGCTTATGGCCCTCTGGTTACAAATGGCAACAATCTACAGAAACTCACGGCAATTTTTACAAATTAACATGCTATTATAAATTGATTCACTCCATAATCATGTGAGTTTGTAGTCCTAATAAAGTATTCCTGAAAATTGTACTGCTTTATGCCACAACAAAAGAACCTTACACTTCTCATACACCTTATCTAGAGAAAATGTGTTTTGGCCTAATTCCTTATCACCTTGTTTACAAAATGCATCTTACTATATAAATGCAATATTTCTCAATATATATACAATTAATTTATATTAATCTACATGATAGAATGCAAAGAATTTAAAATAAACATGTTGCTTGAAGACGTCTCATGAATACAACTGAAGTGACTCTTAACAATAATGTGCTTCACAGAATGTAATCACACCACAGCCCCAACTTAAGATTTGCAGATGTTTTACATAAAAATCACACACACACACACACATATATATATATATAATTAAAACCATATATTAAGGAATATAAGGTCAAAAGTCAAATATAGCTTAAAATGAGGTGTCTCAATTAGGTCATAACTTTTCCTACAACTTGTGCCCCCCGCCCAAAAAAGTTTTTTTTTTACAACTTTGGAAGTATGTTCTAAAACATGTTGTGGCCATACAGCGGTAAAATTTGGCAAAATCAATTCTGAGGGTGTTCGTTTGTACTTGTATTTTCTGCGTTTACTTGATGTGGAATGAACCATACATCTC